AAAAACCTCAAATAATTCAAGATTTTATTATAAAAACCAAGCTTTGACTTCTAAGCAAAAGATTTTAAAATCAAATTATATATATATTTAAACTCTTTTAATCTAACCTAAAGCCAACCCTAACCCAACTCTAACCTAACTTTAAATTAATTTTACTTGTAATAAACATTTTATAATACTAGGTGATATCAACCTAGAGTGAAAATTAGTTAAAATCGAATAGTAAAACACATTTAATTTTTATTAACAAAAAAAATTTAAAGTATTTTAATTGGTTTAAAAACAATTTATAATAAAATAAAAATTTTAACAAATTGATAGATTTTTTTAAAGTGTTTTTAAAAACTAAAAGAGAATTGCTATTTTTACCATAGTTATGTGATGATCATTTTGATTTTGTCACTTTTATATTTATAAAAGTTTAAACCTTTAATTAATAATATCTTAGATATTTTAGCAACTATTTGACCAAAATCAATAAAAATTTTTTATTTGAATTTTACAGATTTGTAAAATTCAATTAAAAAAGTTTTATCAATTTTGGCAAGTAGTTACTAAAATATTGTTGATTAAAGTTTTTAGAATCTTTTTTTTTTATTAGTGTCTAGAGACTTAAGTTTATTGAAGTTTAACATATATTACATCTAGGTCACTTGATTATTTTTATACAATTGCATTCACAGTATTGAATTTAATCTAACTGATCATACCTTCAATTTTAATAATCTAGATAATTATAGTTACTCTATGCCCCAGCACTCTACCAGATTTTATCTATTATTGGTAATGTTCTCTGGTTATACCTTTAGCCCTTATCTAAATTAGACACTAGTAGTAAAGCTTCAATTTTTCTATATCTTATCCATTTCCAAATCAGGTTTAGAAATGTTGCTTATGGCATTAACTAAACCACTACAGTGCTTCTTGAATTCACAACTAATCTCAATACAAACTTCTTTTTCAATGCATAAGTTCAGCTCTAGAGATATCACTTTTTATGAAGCAGCTTCTTATTGAGAAATTAATAAATGTTCTGAAAGGCATGACTATACAGCAGCTTTTGCTATCTTTCACAGCTGTTAGCAATATAATAACAAATACTCTAAACTGCAAAGAGCTATAATTTTTTTATAATATTGGACAAACACCACACTTAAGACCACCTCAAGACATAATAGAATCCAATTATTATAATGACTATGTAAACACACAGCAACCAGGACTATCTTCTTCAACTGCTCATCCTGAATATCCTAAACATCCTAAACATCCTGAACATTCTGAACATGGTTTAAATGTGCTACAACTCTTTATACTGCAGTCTCAGCTCAGCTTCAGTTTAAATAATCTTGCTAAAGATCCCATGAACTATGTTTCCATTGATCAAACACCAAATATGAAATATTACAAGTGGTGCACAACAACCACATTTATCTTACATCTCAATATCCATCAGCAATCTTCTGTAAGTGTTGGAAAAGTAATTAGAATATACTCAAGACATGACAAGTAGTAGTAACATTTTAGAAGTTCTGGCACATCAGTATTAATCTTGCATATAATTTAGTATTTGTGTTGTCAAATCAATAATAATCATTTATTTACCCAAATTCATATTAAAAAGGTTATCATTTTATCATAGTGGGGTATAAATTTGCATTTGTGTTGTCACTCAAATGATGATAAATTTGTGTTTGCGTTGTCATTCTAGCATAGTGATATCATTTTTTGTATATCTAGAATACAATCTTCTGCTTAAATTTATATCAAAAAGATAACAATTATTTATGCTATCTTGTTTGCTATCATTTATGTATCAAAAATCTCAATCAATATACCAATATTGTTATATATCTAGAACATATTCTTTTATTTAAATTTATAACAAAAAGGATACAAATATTATTTGTTATAGCAGAATTTATTCTAAAGTTAATTCTTCACTACTTACTGGCCCAGCTAAATCTAATAAAAATTTCAATATATATAGCTAAGTCTAATAAAATTTTTGATATATATATAGCTAAGTCTAATAAAAAATTTATACCAATATCAAAAGTCTAATAATAAAATTTCAGATATAAAATAAG